AATTTGTTTAACATGCTATTGTATTCAAGGCTTAAACACATTCGGCTTCAGCTTTGATGAAATATCGGGAAACAAAATATAGTTGGTTGAACATGCTGTTGTGACCTTATCAAATGCTAATAATCAAACAGTCCGTATAAAGAAACTGTGGTTCCGATTCCCGAACAATGAATAAGAAGAAAAAGGTTGAGGATTTCAAATACACGGTGGAGAACCAAACAACAAAGATGCCTATATTCTAGTACTTGTAGTAAACAACCATATCAATAGCATTCAGACGGCGATATAGCCACACAACTGTGATAATATTTATAGTCACAGTAATGGCCTCCCAGACAGCGACGTAATAACATGAGGTGACAGTCACTTATGCTGTGTGAGGAATCCTCTGTTTATCAGCCTCTTGCAGCAACGATCAGTGTCGCAGCGTGCTTTTTTCTCGGCTATATTGCTTTTCGCCACAGGCGAAGCTCCACAGACCGAGAAGTTTTGCGAATATGTTTTAATTGCAATTTCGCAGCCACATACATTGTTGGTTGATTCACTTGGTGCTTAGCCATATGACAAACACTTCACGAATGCCGTTGTATGTGTATGCAAATATAAATAAATATACAGAAAACAACACAAAGCAGGCACTTCTTTGATGACCATTTGTCAACAGTGGTGGATGTTCAGCAACCCCCCCCCCCACCAAGTTACATGCGCTTTCTTCATTTCAACCCCGCAGCAGCTGTCCAGCTAAAAGTGGCATATACATTCTTGTTTTTTCTCTCTCGAATTTAATACAATTTGGAATTGAATCAATCGATGATACATTCATACATATAAAATACTTGTTCCTTCTAGAATACATTCCTTTTCGAAAATAACATATCTTTGTTTCTATGGTGCCTATGTCTCCTTCGTTTTATTGCAAAGTGGAACACACTCTACCCTATATTATTGATTGAAATTAATAATTCTATGGATCTCTTGTCCTATCCCATTACTACTACGCCAGTAGTGTGGTTACGCAAGACGCCCATAGCACCCGGTATGGAACAGGTTGCCTCTCCACGCCTTTAACTTATCTAGCTATCTCAACTAATTCATGAGTGTTGTATTCTACCATGTTCTCCAAGAACGTAAATAGTAGATTTTCAATTCTGAATTCACCCTCTATGTAATTGCAATAAACTTTTGCTTTTTAGAAAATATAAGGCTGTACATCTCGGCTAATTTTATTGGACCATTTCAATACAAATCGATCTCTCAATTATGACTCTAGTATACGTCTCTACATAAATACACCGGGTAAAAGTCTACACTTTTCCGTATCCCTCCCAGTGTACATATTGCGGCAAAGCAATACTAAGCAAACCGACCACTGTCTGGGTTGACTTGGTATACGACAACGGCATACATTCCTGAAAAAAATGTCGTCGCGACATGTATGACATGTCGTCTCGATATGTGTATGACTGTATGTATAACTGTATGAGACTGTTTAACGTATTTTAATTAACGGGGTTGGTAAACGACGCCGACACCATGTCGCGACCGACATGTCCTACAAAATGTCGCCGCGACATGTATGACATGTCGTTTGCCCAAATGCCGGCGTCGTTTACCAACCCCGTTAATTAAAATACGTTAAACAGTCTCATACAGTTATACATACATAGTACCGTAGAGTGTAGTACAGTAGACTAGACAGTAGTCTACAAGAGTATTTACTACTAACTATTTAAGTCTACAAGTTGCATTTACTACTAACTATTTCTATACAAAACTAGATACATTCTTATTCTTCGACCTCAATGACAATCTGAAATCCGTTATTCCCGAATACTAGTCTTTGGGTCTTTTATAATAGTCCTTTGAACGTCTACAACAATTCCACATAAATACCATAATACAATCCATTAAGATTAAATTAAATTATATTATTAGACAAAATATAACCCTATTGATACTGATCACGCAACAAAAATTGGAACCAGCTACTAGATAGTTTGATTAGTCTTTTGCCCCTATACTCAAATTTGATGATCGATTTGCAAGTCAAAATCGCTACGAGCTTCCCTCCGAATTTCTTTAGACTTCACAACATACGTGCTCTTACTCAATTTTTCAGGAAACCATTCAGATCGGTCGATGATGCACCTTGCGGATCTCACCTCAGCTAATCATGTTAGCCTTCACTTTCATTGCGCCTGCGGGTTTATCACTCAAAGACTCGCATATATGTTAGACTCCTTGGTCCGTGTTTCAAGACCGGACTGATAAGGCCATTTCACCAACATCTGTAAACTTCGATGTATATTTCTATGATTTAAGTTAGGTTATATAAACTAAGATACAATTTAAGTCAGTTAGGATTTAGCAGTGGTAGCTTGTGTAAGAATGATCGGGACTGCCTCTTGGTAAGAGCCTTAATATCCTCGATCACACACAATTATATCTTTGACTTTTGACTTCATAACTGGGACATCAGAATTCCCATACATGACCATTCGTGGACTGCCTTGGAGGAAGTCTGAGACTGAAACTCGACTCAATACGATTCCGGAAATTGCTGGACACGTTGCCAAAAACCGTAGGCACAGAAACTGGATGAATCTCCACCACATGACCCTTTGTGCAAAGCGACGAAATGTAGAATCAACAGAATTTTACGAAAGAAGGGTTTGAGCAATGATAGTAAACAATTCGTGGACATTCAGGCAAAGACGCAGATTCTTTGACTGCTACGGGTCTATTGTAACTTATACGTAAATAGTATACATAGCTAAAGTAAAAAAAGGGCAAAGAAAGTGGAGAGGAGGAATTAAGACGGAATCGTTGACTCATTACTGTGGTGCCGAACCGATTTAAAAAAAACAAAAACATATATTGTACATACTGGTAATTTTCTCGCAGTTGGGTTTCTAACGTTGATTGTTAATGGTCATCGACGGTCAGGATAGATATTTTTATCCTCGCTCCATTGGGCTAAAATGAAAAATAGGCATTGGAAATCTAGGAATTATTGGCATTTGGTCATGAAAACAAATTTTAAATTACATACACAATAATTTGCGCGATAAAATTTGAACGGGCCATTCAAAAATCTATAGTTAAAAAAAACTTTAATGGTACACACGCCGATCCACAAACCAATAAACACTTTAGAGAAAAAGTTTTTAGACTAAATTGAGCCTTAAAAAATGGGTATAAAACCAATAATGGAGATAATAAAGTGCTGATTGAACCACCAAGGATTCCCTGATTTCCTCCTGACCTTTATCCACCAACCAGGTGAACTCCTCAGCTTTCGAACACGATATGAAACCAACTGTGATCGTAATGGAACTGGATCTGTGGAATTGAGTCCTTTTTTTAACTCTTGAGTGTTTGTTTTTAATATATATATATATAAATAAATAAATAGAAGGCTACATATAAAAGTAATTATGAGCCTAAATATGTATTTGTGACTCGCGACTGTTCTAGCGTCTTACGATTTCCGCTATTTATTTACGACCCTCTACTACTCTACTCTAGAGAAATATATAAATACCAAACGGCACAACGGTGAGCGGACTAAAGTCTGTAAATTTGATAGAAAAATAAGTTGTATACAAATAAACCATTTTTTTTTAGAATAGAAAAACCAATAAAAAGTTTCAGCCATTTGATTTATGACTTGGGAAGCTGGGAGTTGGGAGTTGGGCCGTTGGGAGTTGGGTCGTTGGGAGTTGGGACTCTGGGAGTTGGGACTTTGGAAGCTGTCAGCAGTTCAGAATCAGCACTCAGCACCGTTCACCACCACCGGTCAGCAGTCAGCACTCAGCCCTTCAGCACTCAGCACTCAGAACTCAGCAGCAGGGCAGGGGATGACTCATGAGTTATGTGTCATGACATAGGCGGAACTGCGGAAGCTTCTCTCTTCTTTTGGAGAATGGAAGGTCTGTGGGCGCAGAGTCGTACCGTCGCAGCCGTATGTAGACAGACTTCTACTCTCACTCTGAGATTTCTGATGTGTTAAAAATTAAACAACCAACAAATAGTAATAATATTCAAATATGTCCTCGAGACTTCGAGACTTCCTGACCCAGTCCCAGTGACCCAGTCTCCCAGACCCAGGGTAGGCAGGGCTCATAATACGTAAATTGTAAATATATAGCGTAAAGCCGTAAACATACATACTACGTTTTTAATTTTTACGCTTTGAATATAGATGGAAAATTTGAACAATTGCCGACTTGCCGCGCTCGATTCTTTCCCTCTTGTGTTTTGACCTGTATAGCGTTCTATTTATGAATCAAATATGTATATAAACGTTTACAATAGACTTTTCGATGTACCTCTTTTTTTTTAACGAATTGAGGATGTCCCCCACTTCACCCACCCAAAATTCAAGCATCTATTTCTAATTTTAGTTTTAGACAAACTTATCATTATGAAGTTGGTGGACCCAATCACTACTCTCCGATGAAAGTTCAGTGCCGACTTGCACTATACTATTCGACAGCTCCTCCCAAAACAGGTATTCAACCAATACCTATTCTTTAACCGTCGTGTGCCTGAAGGTACGCAATACGTATACTCTCCGTGATAGTCGGAAGTCCACAAAAATTGCTATTCAGTGCGCGTGCACATTTCCAACATATGATTCATATCTGCTATATGTATATGTGCTTCTATTAGGACTGCATTCGACAATTATGTCACACAACTATGTACTATACTATAGTATCTCACAGTAGTTAAGCCCATCTCGGTTCAGAATATACGGGTCTCAACCTTACACGATTCACATATAAATGTACGGCGAATTCCAAAGTGTTCTCTAATTCTATATGAGTACAAGAAGGGCAACCTACATATAGAGTGGTCAGGTTTTCAAGCTATTCCTATCGAACATTTGGATACTCGCTCACAATCTAGGACACTACACCTGCACGAATTCAATAGTATCAAATAGACACTTTCGGACGAGAATGTCAGTTCAACATCAGAAACCCGGGCTCACCCCCACTGGACTGCGGCGTGTGTCGGAGTCAAGTAATCTGTTGGGCCTGTCAAGCAACAATATTCCTCGAAACCTTGTGCACAAAAAGATTAATGGCACTGTGCATGGCAGAAACCTAACACACACTCGTCTAACATCGGAGGACGAGAACTCTGGTGCCACGGTGCCCTTATGTTGGCAAATGCTAGCATTTGTTGGGCTTGGCTTGTTTGGCATCCTCTTGGCGGTGATAGCGTTCATTAACCTTGTGTGGGTGGGAGCTATAGTGGTGTGCTTTGCGATCGAAATTGCGAAGGCTGTCGACGTATTTGAGGTGTCTGAGTCAATCGGATATCTCGCAGGGATTGTCACCTGCTCACTCGCTGCTATACACTTCAGCCAGGAAATATACTTCTTTTTTCTGGAATCGAAGTCTATACGCACTTGTATAGAGCGCCTGTCGGCTTTATGCCGGTCGAAGTCGAGCAACAACTTCTTAGCGGGTGCTGATAATAGTAGTAGCTTAAAACTAGGGGATTTGGATATGAAAGTCAATTTAGTTGGGAATGCGCAGCGGATTGTTCGGACAGAATTGGTGGTGAGCTGAAATTCTAGCAACTCAACACATATGCTTATTGTCAGTGATGTATATACATTCAACAGCATACATCAACACACATGCTGTGAATCGGTGATGTATGTACATCAACACATGAATCTATGACGTGGAAATCTTTGCAGGGCTCTTCGGTGAAGGTCTAAGTAGTAGTAGTGTGAGGATGTTCTGTGGCCTCGTCATCCTGCAGACTCACCGGCATACACTATCATACTGCCGATGTAGGGCAGTAGTTAATTATCAAATCAGGAATATAATCTTATTGATTCCGAACGACGCAGATGTCCTTGCGTGATGTCAATTTCGGTAACTGAGTAATAGTTTGGGACGTACACAATAGTTATACTCCGTTAGGCTGGTATTCGTTGTCCTGTATAGAGTACCGAGCACACGTCTAAAAATAGCATAATTGCACGGGTTTAGGAAGTAGTTGCAATAGGTCCTCCAGATTGCTTGCGTCTGTGTAGGCCTGGTACTGGCGTCTTGTACTGGCGTATGGGATTACTTGTCCCAAGAGTATACGAAGAGAGTACTGTCAGATTGTCGATGAATCCAATCAAGCACAACAGGTATTGGTGGTCAGCGGTGTTCAGTGATGCATCTTTTCTGACAGTGTGCAGAAAGTATGTAAGTGATGTTTAGTGGCTTATTCGGCACCAATGACAACAGTGTTCAGCGACGACACAGGGGTTTCCTGATGGAGGACACAAAATTAGTACTAAGGCAGCTGAAGTGCTCATGGATGCATACATGTCTCCGCTGCGTGTGAGTGTGCGAGAGCGTCATAGTATGAAGCTCACACAGAAGCGAAGAGCTCAATATGCGGGATTAGTTATAACCATAGTTGCCTCTGTTGTGCGTGTAGCAATAAAGTCATTTGCACCATACACAACTGGAAGGTTATCAAATTCACTCATAAATAATAAATAATGTGGGTATTGTTTGACTATAATGTTGCAGACATATTTTGTCCGCAATAAGTTTAACATGAACTTGCGGGTCTATAACCAACTCAGGTCATGCAAACCACGTATAAAGTCCCGACTATACTCAAGCACATATGCTGGAGATAAAACAAGATTTTCTTGGGTGAGTAGCTGTAAAAGTTCTAAAGGAGCCTGCAATCAAATACTCGCGAACGTTTGGTGTATCAGGCTCGTGTATATGCCAAACAAAGACAAACTTATACATGGATATAAAACATCGGAGTCAGCTTTGGTTTAAAAAAGGAAAGCGGATCTGCATATGAAGTTGTATGCAAAGCAAGCTACACATTCCCCTATATCTGCACGGAATAAAGAGTATGCATCAACCGATAGAACTGGGTTCGAATGGCCATTGAGCGCAACAATAACATTCAAACTTTATATTTTAGAAATACTTTATTTGTACCCATGAAGAGGAACCAGTTGATGCCTACAGCGCCAACCGCTACCCGAGATAGTGAGACTGTGTTGTCAAGGCTGCGAAACAGAAGCGGCACACAACGACAGTAAGTGACAGAACGACCAGAGGTCCCGCAGAGTCATTGAGGGTAATACAATAACGAAAGACCTAAAATCAGAAATAAACCTCAGTGTATACTTTAATTCAAGCACACCGATACCTGTGTGTATATTTAGATGGCTTTTCTGCACACTCCCAATATCAATGCGGCACAGTAGCCATCCACTGGTTATTCAGCTGCAACAATGGAGTTATCCCTCGTATCCACATACACATCTACATGCATACATAGAATAAATAAAATCGCCTGTGCATACATTATATACGTACACACGCACACACATATATACAAAAAGATAAAATTTAAACATATGAACTCGTGTATTGATAAAAATACGAATCCGGATCGATAAAGAACGTCATAATATGCACACAAACGTATATATTTGTATAAATATAATAAATGTAAAGTATATACATATTTCAGGACCTACTTACTATAATCAGCTTCCACGCCAGAGCTGAAAAATACGGTAAGAATACGCACGCGTAACCTGAAAGAGTATTTTTCATCTTTCGCAGTCGACACTAGATGTACATACAAGACGCGATTCATGTGCACACACACTAACAAACACACAATACACATATATTTATATATGAAGGAAGATATTCAGATGTGCACGCACGAACAAACACCCATACATCGAATAAATTTATCAAGATACATGAATACATACGTATACACACATATATATATAAAGAAATACATACACACGTATACACATACATATATGTGTAAATGTATGTTGGCATGACGTCACACATACACAATATATATATATATATCTATATACATAATGGATTTATGTTGACATAAGTAGGATATATTTATACATACACACGCACACATATATATAACTAATTATAAACGTATGCATGCTGATAAGATGGGTTGACAGCAAGGTATCAAGTACTTGATACACGTGAATAAAAAACCACAGCCCTCTGAATATGAAATATAACACAGATGATACCCTCGCTTATGCGATAGCGTTGACATCAAGTCCATTGTATACATATTGCAGCCAATTGAAAAGTATTAGTATACGATATTTGTCAATCTGTTATATAGCCGCAGGCATTCCAATATACGCAGTTACTATCCATTCCGTATTTCAAGACCCTTATGTGAATACTCTGTACTTCTGTAGTGATATTACTAATATTATATCGCGATTGCGTTTTATAACCACAGGCGTCCCATATTAAAAGAACATGGGATCCTTCTGGTGTATATACTATCAATTCTAGATATGTGAACAATGTGTGCTTCTGTAGTGACATTATAATAGTAATACATACATACATAATAAAAAAAAGAAAAAAAGGAGAGACGCGTATAAAAGCCAGCTCTGTTTAAATGGCCACTATAAATATACTGAACGCTATTCTATTTTTAGTTCTGCAGCCACATATGCCACATGTAAAATACATCGCCTTTCAAATACAGTCGTGAATGTACAAACCTTAAATTCAAAAAACCAAAATACAAAAAAAAACAAGGTACCCGCGTGCGTCTATGATTTAACGCTGAATATACTACAAGGATGTATATAGCATTTGGGCACACAGAAATTGGGAATCCTTTTACTTTCTCTCTAAGCAGGCAGTATGGTTCAGCGTTGCACCTACCGAAGACGTTTGTCTTATAACACAACGTCCAACAAGAAGCGCATGTAAGTGAATATGTAAGTGACTGAGATACCCTCCCACAGAATCGCAAAATTACAGATTGCATAGTTATACATGGCAATGCACACGGATAAGCACATGCAACTGCATTGGGAACTCAAACAGAAGTTAGAAATACGAAATGAAAGCATCTCCCGACGATGGAAATAGGAGCATATATATGGTGATGAATATGGAGAGGCCAGTGCAGCGTCAACAACTCAATGTCAATGAATTTTCAGCTGTAGAATGACATCCCGTGCACTTGTACCCTAAATGCTTGCTAGCTATCAGGATGCATACAGATCTGAGCCCTCTTTAGGAGTGGGTGTTCGATATAGAGCTTACGTATTACTACTATCTATTGGAGGTTCTGTCTATATAATGTACGTTATATAAACGGCAATAGCAATACGACACAAGCAGCATTGTTGTGAATGTTACAAGACAGTATGATGCAAATCACTATTGCGTGCGGTATCGCGTCTTCGTCATCCTATATTTAAATTGGCGTTCGATGTATGCCAAATGTTTTATAGCAATAAGTATGTTATCCCCTGGTCCAAGACCAGTGTTCAATGTGTTATCGATGAGTAATAGATGTAAGTTTCTGATCCGCATTATAGACTGCAGTGCCTAGATCATTTATACCATACATTATCCTCACCAACAATAGTATCAAGACGCCCGGAGGTAAGCTTACTTTCCAGTACTTGAAGAAGACCGCCGCTTCTCCCAAATGTGGAGACTGTGGAACCGCTCTTCAGGGTGTCAAGACTGGCCGCCCCAAAGAGTACGCGCAGATGTCTAAGACCAAGAAGCACGTTACCCGTGCCTATGGAGGTTCACGCTGTGCCTCATGTGTGCGTGAGCGGTATGTCATGTGTATGCACGCGTGAAGTCTGAATGTTTGGGTAGTTAGACAGACCCTAAAAAATTGAATCGATTGTATATAATGGTCGTATTTAACTTTTGCTAGACTTTCAAGTACCCACATTTGCATTTATGTGTATGCGAGTATTCTGTATGGTCAATTGCGCCCGGCCGCAGTCTGTACTTACGAGTTTGCTAGCCTTCCATTGTGCGTGCGAATGTCATTGATTTTAGAAAGTACAATTTTGTTTTGAAACGATGATTTTCATGACGCCGTTATAGGTTGAGTAGGATTCGTTGGTGTATAGTAGTCGATCAATTCAAGTCGATTTGACTTGTGAGCTCTAAAAATACTGCTGTATATGAGTGTATGTATTCGTGGTTTATGTTTGAGAACACTCAGTACCTTGAGACCTCTTACGAAGGCTAGGGAAAGTGCCAATGTATATGGATCAAACTAGATTAAAGTGCTATCATACTCAACGGCTGTGTCTTTACCGTGTCACAATCGTTCTTTAGATCAGCAACATTAGTATTTTTCAATGGCATTGTTATATGTAATCGAAATTTATATATATGTATAATATATATATATATTTATACGTGTATGTATGTTTGTATGTATTTATATATGTACGTGTATATGTATATGTATATGTATATGTACATTATATATATATATAATATCCATATATGTATTATGTATATATATATATATTGTGTATATGTAATATTCAAACATGAACGTGTACGTGTATAATATATATATATAGATATACATTGATGTATATATATTTATGTGTAGGCACATATCTATACACATACACATACAAATACACACATATATATATACAACATACATTAAACATATTTGTAGTGTTTATGTATACAAAAACGTCTATGTATGTTTGTGTGTTGGCAGTGATGCATTTGTGTATATATTTTATTTCAAGGTACGACATTTCGACGGGCTCTTACTATTTTCGCTGATTCAAAGAACTCACGAGTGATGTTAATTGACCATGTTTCAATATTCCCGCTTTTCACGTTTCTTGTTGTATGCAGCATCGTTCGTGCCTTCCTTGTGGAGGAGCAGAAGATTGTCAAGAGATTCCTTAAGAGCAAGCAGTAAGCTCGCGAATAAACGCAATCGTTGCATCTGTTCATTCCTGGATTGATTGCTAAGAACATATTTGAGGCTGTGAGTCACTCGTTGAAAGTTTTGATTTGTATGGTATTAGTTGGTGCTGTTTTGTGGAGGTTGTGATTCGATGCTGTTAAATTGTCATGAAGTGAAGATGACAGAATATGTTTGATACACTCTATACCTTTCAGCCTGTATTGGCCATGGAAGAGCATAATTTTCATTCAAACTAGATCAATGTGCAATCTCTACATAACGACGATTTCCGTTCAATGAGATCGTTGTCCTGGGATCTGCTAAATTAAGAATATACGCGTACATATATTATGTATATGTATATATGTAAATATATATATACATATACATATATATGCATTTATGCATGTTATGTATATATGTGTGTATATATATTATACATTTATATATATATATATATAGATATATTAATATGTACATACACGTGTTTGTGTTTGGCTTTGTCTTTATGAATCTGTGTATATATGTGTGTATATGTATTGTTACATACCATATGCGACATACCAAGACATGAGCATGAAATGTATGATATGCGAGATTTGGTAACGTAAATGGTATGCATAGGTCTGCAATTATATAGGCATGTAGTGTGATTGAGAATTACGGAATATGTCGTGTCAATGTTCTGTTATTCATCGTGTGCTGCTTATACACATGTGCGTGTCAAGTATGATGTTATTACCTGAGTTTATGTACTTTAACTCATTCGTACCAACGAGTCTTTTACGAGATTCTTCATCGATTTCCAGACTTTTAACTCGCACCAGCAATATGTGACACTGTTCACGATGTTGTTGGATACAGTTGTTGGAAAGCTTTGCAGATTTTGTTTTCTTACACTCCATTCGTGGGTACTTACAACAGTGAATTGGTATCGACTCTGCATTGCATCGTTTGGCACGCCTATATGCAAGTGATCGATTAATCGGATTGTTATATAGTTTTGTATGCATAACCTATGATGTTCTGTGAAGGCATTTGGACTGAATTCTGGTCTCTATACTGCGCAAACTTGCAAACAAAGTCTTTTTGTTTGCATTCCGTGTGGTGTGACCGTAACATGTCGTTAAAAACGTCACACCTGAGGTTATATGTATTTCTGCTTTGATAGTTTATTGTTACTAGTTGTGTTGCGTTACTGTCTGATGTTATGTATATTTCTGCTTCGATAGTTTATTATTACTAGTTGTGTTGCGTTACTGTCTCGCGTCATTTTCTCATGTGTTGGTAGTTTTACGGTAGGACTAATAAACTTCCATATTCATTTTCAATATTTCGAGTTTCATATCTTTTTTTTCCTTGATCGTTATTTTCAATACTATTTTTATGCTAGGACGGTATATTATTATTTTTGTCTTGCGTAAGCCATCATATTTTTCTGGTTGTAAGTGTTTGATACACTCTATACCTTTAGCCCTTGGGCAATTGAAGTGCATAATTTTCATTCAAACAATATAAAATTGCAGTCTCTACTTAACGACAATATCAGTTCATGTTATTGTTGTCCTGGGATTTGCTAAATTTGTAGTTTAGTAGTTGTTATCTCGAAAACTAGAAAATTCTAGTCTGTTCGAAAAAATTCTACAGAATGTACAACTTCATTGCAATCAATAAACATGAAATTAAGTATTTATCCCTGCATAAATTTTGTCTACTTCTCAAATACCAGTCCAAAGAGTGCTGGCGGCGGTTTATACGTATGTGTGAATAAGACTTGTGTTTTGTTTTAGTGTTTATGATGTTATGTTTTGTTTGATTACACTCAGTACCTTCAGACCTCATCCGAAGGCTAGGGAAAGTGCCAATTTTTGGATCAAACTATATCAATGAGCAGTCTTACTCAACGACTGTGTCCTGCCCATGGCACAACCGTTCTTTAGATATGCAACATATTCTTTTTGTAGTAATTGTGTGTATCACAATTGTGTTCTGTATGCTTTTGTTTGTTGTATTATCTGTTGTGACCGTTACAATCACAGTTAATCTGTCACCATGTTTTTGACGTCTTCTACTCCTGAATGTGTACATACGCAGAGCTACTTGGCTGTAGTTTTGTATTCGCATTCAAATGCCAAAAATTGGTGCTTTGCATCATCAGTCTGTATACGAATCAGGTATAGGGCTCGAATTGGCATGTCTACAACTTTGGTGAGCGAGTATTGTGATTACTTTTGGTTTGAAGTTTTTTTTTGGAAGGGTACACTTGCAATCCTCAAGTCCCTACGTAATGATAGCCCATGATGCTTAGTGAAGGCATTTGGACTGAATTTGGTCGACATGCCGCACATCTGTGCGAACAAAGTCTTTTTGTTCGCCTACTGTGCGGTTTGACCGTAACATGTCGTTAAAAACGTCACACCTGACGGCTATCGTTGCACAATACTGAAGGTGGTTGTTTCGTGCATGTATATTCCCCTGTAGTTGTAATGTTTATACGATATGATCTTAGTATGTGGTTGATAGGCTTTTGAAAAGTGTGACCGAGGGCGCAAGACCTGGCGGTACGGTCGTTAGCAGCGGTAAAATCCAAAATAAAGCAAACCTCGTGCATCTATGGAGTATTCTCTGGGATAAAGAAATAGTTTACAGAGCCGTATGTAGAACAATGTATTCAAAGGGAAATATATGCTGCTTTGCCTCATATAAGGCGACGGATAGTGTTTGCCGGGTTCTTTCAGTTTTACCTGTGCACGCTATCACGCGTGCAACAGTGAATGATCGGAGAATCCAAAGCCAAAATTGCATATATATATATTTATGTATATATATGTTTGTATTTACTGGTTGATTCATCCTCTACGGTACTCCACGCCGGAGACTTTATACAAAACTATGTCTCACCGGTCGTTCAAGTACGTAGATATATCTGCTTGTCAGAGCTATTTGTAGTTTTTAACTCGCCCATCGCACTCAGGGTAGGCAAGTATGCTTGTGTGGCTCGCGTCCGCTTATTGCTGTATCTAGAGCAAAGTTTAAAATAGCGGTGCTGCTGTAATTATGATGCTGTGCGTACTTCGTATTACCTGTCTGGAATGTTTCAGACTTCGCGCGACGTGCTAGAAAAATTAAGCATTCGTCGATTTGGGAAGCCACAGTCCGTGTCAGTTGAAAATACGTTGACTTGGATAAAATAAATCTTACTGTGAACCTTGTGCATGTTTAAAAGCATATACATATACAGCGCGCTTCGCATACGCAGCAGGGGAAGGTTTTGGTATTCGGTAGTATCACATATATGCCATTTTAGACCCGAAGCTTGTGCGGAATCCCAATTAGGGATTGTCTATTAAACATGTTCGTACAATGAAATCTAAAAGATAGTATTTTCGGCATATACATACATACAAACATTATATATATATATATATATATACATACATAAATACATGCATATATATAAATATACGTATATATATATATATATATATATATATTATATATATAATAACACATACATGTGTGTAAGCCACACACACACACATATATATATAT